TCTGTTCATTTTCACAGTGTTCTTTCAAAGATAAATAAAGAAATAAATGAAAAAGGAAATACTGTACTGTGAAAGGGGAGAGAGAGTATTAAATGTTCTGGGCTCATTCATTAACTGGACCCTCCGGTTTTCTAGAAGCTGAACATGGTTATGCCTCCATGTTACCATACAATAACAAGGACAGAGATGCCTTAAAACGGAGGAATAAATCCAAGAAGAATAACAGCAGTAGCAGGTAATTTGGTAAATATTTTTCTTTCTCGTTCAGATTATACTCTAGGTGACACCAACGGCAGAATTGAAGTTGCCTGTTGTGATTATGATCCTGTAAATACATTAAGTGGCTATCGTGATTCAGTAATGCACACGTGGTCCTAAGCCAGAGGCCGAAGCAGCCCTTTTGTATAAGTTGAAAAAATCCATAGAAATGTTTTACATTTCTTTATGAACTTTTTAAAAATTTTAACTTGCCGTTTCTTCACTAATGAGTGAAAAATCAGTGAAAGCTTCAAGTGAGATTTAACAACAGGGAAATATTTTGCCTTCAAAAGTTGCAGGTTCAGGGCAAGTTTTCTATAGTTCAAAATGCTGGACATTATTCACTTTATTTTTACAGTGAAAATTTTATAAACATTAAACTATCTGACTTGACATAAGTGGTAGGATTTGATATTTGATATTTAAATTAAACAGTAGCTTGTCTATTATATCTACTTATGATGGCAACAAGGAATGAAGTTAAAACCTATCTTTCTGGTGATGGAGGATTATATAATATTAAAATATTAATATGTTTTGATGTTTTCATCTTAGCCTCATAGATGGCCTTAAGTTCTCACATAGTTCCTGGTATATAAATCTTTTTATTAATGTTATTGCTCCCTTTTTTCACCCTCTTTGCCTTCAAAATACTAGGTAGGAAATAGGTTTTGTTAAGTCCATTTAGTTGTATCTTTCCTGCCAGTAAATCAAAATCATTGACATTTTCACCACTGATTTACAATTCTTACTGCTTCCTCACTCTCACGTGTAACTCCCTGCAGGTAGCTATCTGAATAGCCTCGAGGCTTCATGCAGACTCTGCGACACTAGCCTGTTCCCACTTAAGCCTAAAATTCCTGTGTTCTTGTGTCTTCTGTCCTTGGTTCACCCCGTGGTCCTTATTGTTGGTGGAACCGCAGGATGTGAGCAGCACACTTGTGACATGCTTTTGACTAAGAAGGCACAGGGAGAGGAAACCTGGTAATTACCCGGTGTATTTCCTGGTCCTCTCATCTCAGTATAACCTGAAGGCAGCCACCAGCAGTTCTGCAATGGGTACTGGGCCTTTGAAGGAAGCTATTTATGCTAATTTGTTTTATGAAAAGGCATCAAAAAAAGTATGTTGTAGTCCATTTTGTTACAGTATTGATTTTTAAAAATTTGTTTAGGAGAACTTTGAGGGCACTTAGTTTATTTTTCTGGAAAAATGTTGAGTCCACAAACATATTGGCTACTCATGATTTGAAGTTGTCAGAGGCTAAAATACCTTAATACTTTATTTTTTCCTAAGATTCACAGGAGGGTTGTAGAGGGATAGCCAGTAGTGTAGGGTGGAAAAGGAGATGTCGTTGAAGAGAAGTGATGTGGTCCCAAAAAGGTAATTAGGAAAGAAAAATAATGAAGTTGAGAATTTTAGAAAATGATTTATTTTCTTTTCAATAACCATTATTATTCTTGAAAAATGGTCACAATTCTTGATTTTTAGAAAAGTGCTAGCCTTCAGTTAAATGAGTTGGGTTTGCCTTCCATGTTTATAGACAGAGGCTATCTAATAAAAATACTAATAATGAATTAGTGAAATACATTCAGTTGTGTAAGAATCTCAGGGAAACCATGATTAAAATCTAGAGATGGTATCAATCAAACATGAAGCAAGAGCAGGTAGGGGTTTTTTTTTTTTGTTTGATTCTGGGATTGTTGTTGTCTTGAGACAGGGTCTCACTATGTTGTTTAAGCTGCTCTTGAACTCATTATGTAGCCCAGACTGGCCTGAAAATCACAGCAATCCTCCTGCCTCAGCCTCCTGAACTCTGAGATTATAAGCAGGGGCCACAGCACACAGCAAGACTATGTAGTTGTGTGATCACTTCCTTCATGACCCTATTTGGAATGGGCCTTACCTGAGGAGTAAGCAGACAAGAAAGCAGTGCGGCAACTGTGCTTGAGTCAGCCTTAGAGCTAAGGCCACATGTGATCAGAATTTTGAACTGAAGGAGGGATAGGAGAAAGGTTGCTGCTGGTCTGTAGAACTCGGGTAACAGTTTATTCCTGTTCATGGTGGGCTGAAATGGTGTGCTCTTTTCTTACAGAGTCTGAGGGAGTACTTTTCTTTGTACAATAAAAAAAAAAAAAAAAAGAAAAGAAATTTAGCCATTATATTAAACCTCTTGGGAACTGAAATGCAGTTTGTTTAACAGCTGCTTATGAAGAAAAAAACTCAACAAGAACAAATGAAACTGAATATTGATTGTTTGAAATCATCCAAAGAGCTACTGGAAACTTTTTTTTTTCTTACTAATTTTTTTAAATCAATTACTAATTATTTAGAACTGAAATCTAGAGCTTTGTTTTTTATTTTTGTTTCTTTAAGTGATGAGGTCTTACTGTGTGGCCCAGGTTGGCTTCAAACTCCTGGGCTTAAATGATCTTCCAGTTTAGTCTCCCAAGGAGCTGGGACTCCAGGCAGGCGCCATCACATTCACCTCTAATGTTTTGTTACATTAGTAAAGTAGCTTTGGCACACATTAGAAAGAGGAAGTTCAGGACTTGCCACCAAGTTCTTTTTTGTAAGACTGTCTATATAGCTGATCTCATAGGAAGAGTTTTTTTGAGCCAAGAACTTTTCCCATTTCTTAGATGCAGTATAGTTTGACTTAGTTATCTTTATCAAAATATTTATTTATTTGTTTGTTTGTTTATTGTCTTTTTTGAGACAGGGTTTCACTGTACTATGTAGTCCCAACTGGCCTTAAGCTCACTTTGTAGCTCAAGCTGGTCTCAAACTCGTAAAGATCCTCCTGCCCCAGCCTTCTGAGTGCTGGGATTACAGGCATGTGCTACAGAATATATTTTTAAGTAACAAAATTTGCACTTTATTCCAGATTTACCAAATCTGGAATATAATTCCAGAGTTACCAAATCTTTAATAAGCATGTGGAAAATTGTTTTAACACAGGTATCAATATATTCTTATAATGCCTTAATAAAAAATATAGATACTTACCAATAAACAGAGATGACAGGAATCTGTGACCCAATCATGTTTGAAAGGCCAGCTTCTTACTAATGATGAACTCCATTTTACCCAACAAAACACATGTTAGTAGCATTAGGTAGACAGTACCCCTTTAAAAAGCGCCACGTGCTTAACACTGGTAAGAAATAAAAACTAGTTTCTGAAATTCCAAAGTTTATTTTTTTAATATTTTTGTATTTTAGGGAAGGGTCTACAGGGTGTTTGGGGTCTCACTACTAGATCGGACTCATAGTGATCTGCCTGTTTATAGCCTCCCAAGAGCTGGGATTACAGGCACATGCACCACCACGCCCACTCTCGATTGCCATCTCAGTGTACCCTGGAGGTGGGGCCAGCCCAACAGGCCCCAGGATTGAAGCCCTGGCCCCTGTACCTGCTTGCAGGCACTTTAATCTGCTGAGCTATTTGGCCAGCCCTTGAAATTCCAGAGTTTGGAAAGAGTAGGTTTCCTATGAAATGTGTTATAAAGATTATTTTAAGGATTCAGAACTTAATATATACCTGTCACTCTGCCTATCTAGATCTGTTCAAAGAATCTAGTAAGTTTTAGCAAGTATACCCTGTGTGCTGGTATACTGACCTTTCCCTCCTCCGCCTATTAGGGATGGTCCTAGTCTGCAGTTAAACAGGGAAATATTGACCAGATATTGTAGATTTTCATCCATTTTAAAATCTGTCAGACTTTGAACTTATTACCTGTTAAAAATAAAATGTCACGTGATGTAAAGCCAAAGGTTTACAGCACAAGCCAGATTCCTGTTAACTATGGTGCCCTGCTGGGCGCTAAAGGAAGTAAACCTGAAGAAAAAATTGACTTAAAGGAGGATGAGGGAGAACCAAGCAAATCAGTAGAAATCCTTTAAATTAACCAATTTCAAGGTCCTCATATCATTTATCTAGAAAATTAATACTCTAAAAGTGAACATATTATCATTTTTTTGTTTTGCCTCGTGAATAAAACCTATTCTTCCAAAGGCCTAGTTGAAGGGAAGCTTTAGCACTGGGCTAGAAATTTCTCATTTTAAGACAAACTTTTGCCCACACACAACCACCTGCTCCCCCACACCTGTGGTATGAGTGAACTTGGTGACGCTGCCCTGAGATGAGTGGGCTGAGTGTGCTCAAGGCAGTGTTCTTCCATGACTGCTGTGAGACTTTGTCCCCACAGAATTCACGACCTGAACAGGAGGAAACTCCTTAGCTGGATGCATGACAGAGAATTCCCATAGGAAATGTCAAGGTTCACCTATTGCATAGGACTGTAAGATTCCTCAGGTCCATAACTGGTTAGGGAGGAGGTATGTGAGTAAGGGGGTACATTGATTGACTTGTGACGTTGTGAAAACCTGTCTATGAGGTCTTGAGCCAGACTTTATTTTCAAGGTCAGCTATAAACACAGTAATGATATAATTTCACCTACCACACCCTTCTCCCAAGCTCTCTAATCATGTCTACAGTTGCTACCTCACTCGCTGATCCACACTTGTTCAGTAGGTTATTGGCAATCATGTTTATTCCCACTTTACAGAAGGATCAACCCAGGACAGGATGATAAAAAAAATTATTTCATTTGTGGTACCAGTCAGTGACATGCTTCAGCCAGCATACTGTTTTTATGTTGAAAAACCCCTCCTAAAATTACTTAGTTGCTATTTAGTAATAGTGTCTTTCAGGATTTGTGACAATATAGCTAATTCAGAGAGTTGGAAGATTGAAAAAGAGGGTTATTTTGCCATTTAAATTAGTGTCCTATAGTCAAAAAATGAAACATAAAATTTGGTGTATGTTACTCTAGAAAAAAAAAAAAAACTGCAGGGGTGGGGTTGCAGAGGTGCCACCTTCGTTGTTGTACCCTTAGTGTAAAGAAAGCTTGGTGGTATTACATAACTCAAGTTCACAGTGAACTTGAGCTGTTTTCTTTTATTTCCTTTTAAAAAGCAGTTGCTGCCAGGGAGATGGCTCAGTGGAATAAGTACTTCCCTGGCAAGCGCAAGGGCCTGAGTTCAGTCCCCGGTTCTGCCAAAAGAAAAATAAAAAGCAGTTGCTCTTCCACTAGGGAATGCACATCTCTCCCTGTGTCACTGTTCCTTAAACTCAATTGTAGATATTTGCATTTATCTAGTTTCCAAATAGATTAATTTCTTTAGTAGAGCCCAGTGAATTTTTCCCCCTCTTTCTCTGCCTTCTGTCCTATCAACTTCGGAGAGAAAGAAGTTAAAAAATTGTATTAGTGTTGAAATAGTCCTCTAACATGAGAATAACCTTGTTTTCTTACTGTTCTTACTTTCAGATCAACTCATAATGAAATGGAGAAGAATAGGTGAGTTGGGAGTTTTGGAGATTAAATATGGGGTGTTGTGATGCATTTTCAACTCATTAAGCTTTTGGTTGCTTTATTCACTCTTCCCACTGGTAGCATAGTATTTAAGAATTTGCTCAGACTGGCATAAGGCACATACCTAAAATCCCAGCTATGGAGCAGGCTGAAGCAGGCTGTTCAAGGCCAGCCTGGGCAACTTAGACCCAGTCTCAAAATACAATTTTTAGGAAGGACTGAGGATAAAGCTCAGTGCTAGAGCTCTTGCCTTGCCTTGTGTAAGGTCCTGGGTTCAATCATCAGTACTGAAAAAAAAAACTATTCAGGGTCTTCTTAAGCAGCATAGCCCTTATGTGGATGAAGAATTTCCTAGTCCTGAAAACCAAACCCCACGCCTCACCCCCATCCCACTCGTGCTTTTGTGTGACCATTCTACAGCGGAAAGCATGTTAGATCGTAGGAAATGTCACCACGACTCGCTACTGATTGCATGCAGCAGTGACATTTAAATCATATATGCATACGAGTGTGTGCGCACTCGCATACCAACTTACAGTTTACCTGTGAATGAGGAAACTCAAAATTCAGGCAAATGTGTGCATGGCAGAAACAGGAGATGGCAGCCCGCTGGAGGAGGCCTGCTGCCCTCTGGCCACAAGACTGACTTGAATCACTTTTACCTGATTTCTTCTGGCTGCTTATTTAAATCTTTCTTTTCCAGATCAAGTTGCCCCTCCTTCAGAGATGTAACCTAGTAGTTTCTAGTGGAACAGTGTACATTAGAATTGCCTGAAAAATTTTTATTTCCATACATTTTTATTTTTTGGTACCAGGGGCCAAACTCGGCCCTCCCACATATTTTTTAAAAATTGGGGTCAGGGAGATGGCTCAGTGGAATAAGTGCTTCCCTGGCCAGCACAGGGGCTTGAGTTCAATCCCCCGTTCCGCAAAAAAAAAAAAAAAAAAAAAAATTATGTTGGGGCTGGGAGATGGCTCAGTGGATTAAGCGCTTCCCTGGCAAGAGCAAGGGCCTGAGTTCAATCCCTGGTTCTGAAAAAAATATATATATATATTTATATTTATACATATGGGTAGTATGTTTTGGAGATATGAGAGCAGATGTATATTTCTGCTGATTCCATCAGATAATTTTATTTTGGAAAATTTCAAATATATAAAAATACAGTGAATAATGAATCAAATACCCTGTATGCAATACCCACCTTTAATAATTCTGAACATTTTTGCCAGTCTTCTATAACCAAAGCCACTGCCTCTCCATGAAATACTTTAAAACAAATTTTCTATCCCTAGCAAAAACTTACAAAGAAAGAAAGAAAAGCTTGCTTTTACTATGCTGGAAAACAATTAATGATAATTCTTTGTGAAGCTTTAAAAAAAAAAAAAATACACAGACCTCACCCTTCGCAATTCTGCTTTCACTGGTTTGTACTGAGACTCTGCAGTGGTTGTTTTTGAAAGCACCCCAGGTGATTCTCACGTGCAGCCAGGGCTGAGAACCAGTGAACAGGCTGCATTCTGGTCTCTGAGCGCCATCAGCTTGAAACGCAGGCTTCCCCTCCAAACGAATGGCTTTCTCGGTGCCCCGTGAGCAAGAAGATAATGTACAGTGATGGCTCTATAAATACATGTGGTAGTTCCTGCAAACCCTCTTTGAAAAAAGAGCCTAATTCTGAAAGTCAGTGTCTGAATGGTATTTATGTTTCGCCAGGGAAGGAACAGGTCAAGCCTCACCATGCAGGTAGGACCTTGCAGGAAGGCAAACATTTGGTTTTCCACTGTGGAATCTAGTGTGTGTGACACAGAGTATGCCTCATTGCACATGTGCTTCTCCCATGTCTTCTCTGTGGGATTGATACGGACCATGCATGTCAGCCTCTTTAACGTCACTAGGACAAAATACTTGGCACCTGCTATTTGAAGGAGGCAAGATTTCTGTTGGCTCAGTTTCAGCATGTGTGGTACATAGTTGACAGGGTCAAGGGCAGGAACATGTGGTGAAAGGCATAGTTAGGGAAGCTACTCACACCAGGCTGGCCAGAAGGCAGCGGGGGGTAGGAATATGCCTTCCACGTCACACTCCCTGCAGCCTACCCCCACCAACCAGGCCCTACTTCTGAACATGAAGCTTTTGGGGAAAGTGAACCTGTAATGTTCTACCTCTGGCCTCAAAAGGCTCATGACTATGTCATTGTGTAAAATGCATTTAGTTCATCTCTAAGAGTCACCAAAGTTAATAGTTTCATAAGTGATCCAAAGTCTTCTCTGAGACTGAAGGCAATCTTAGCTGTGAGTTTGAAAAAAAAAAAGTTAAATATTTCATATAACGGGACTCTCTTCTCAAATGAAAGGGATACATTTTAAAAAACTTTTTCTTGTATCTTTAGCCTATAATGGGTGATGTCTTTCTGATTCCAGAGATACCTTCAAGTCTTCTTTCCTATTGCTCTGATGCAAAGTATCTGGGGTCTTTTTAATGCTAATCTTTTCAGGAGTGATACCCTTCTTGGCTCCAACATTACAGGTGCTTCCTTTCTGGCCATGAGCAAGATTTCCCACATCTTTCAGTTCTGTTTCTTGCTCCTCATTCTATTATAAATCTGAAACCCAGCAGTACCCATGCCACAACTTAAACATTGAATGGCCAAAATTTAGTCCACCAGTTAATTAACTTACCACCTTTAAATTCAATCAGAAACTAGGGCATAGGATGTGGGTAACACATAGACAATTTAGTAGAATAAAACATACACAGCCCCTGATTCAATTCCCACCTGAAACCTATTGAGCCTGGACTTTATTGTCCACATTTGTATTACATTCTTGTCTTCTGAGCTCCCGCTGGAGTCGCCCATTAATCTCTGTTTACAGCGATGTAGGGACTCTGTAGCCTGCCTCCCCAAACTTTTCCAAATTGGCAAACAAGTTCCAATGTTTCTGAACCATGTGATTATAATACAGTCACAGCAATGACCCCACTCTCAGTACCCAAATCTGTATTAGCTACTTTCCCATTACTGGGACAAAATAGCCTGGAACCCACAATTTAAAGGATCAGTTAACTTTAGCTCACAGCTTTTAGTTCAGTCCATGTTTGGAAGAGTTCAGGGCAGAACAACATGATGAAAGACCTGGTAGAGAAAACTGCTCATGTCATGGTGGCCAGAAACAGGAAGAGAAGGGTGGAGCCAAGCCCGGAAGTACACCCTTCCAAGCCACCAGTGACCCGCCATCACTGACCTACCCCCTCAGACCAGGCCCCCTCTGACAAGACCCCTCTTTGAACGTGAGATTTTGGGGGGAACACTTTAGATCTAAAGCTTAATACCATGTTTTAATTCAGAGCCTCCTTTGTGCTTTAGGAATTTATGTATCATGAACTACAAACTGATGCTTCTTGTTCTCATCATTAGCCCTCTCCCTTCTGCCAGCTTTGCAGTAAACTGGGTAAACTGGATCTATTTCTGCCAAGAAGCTTTCTAGTCCTTCTCCCCTCCAACCTCACACTTGGTTATTTATTTGTGTTATTATGTACCATCCCTTCAGGTAAAGGTTTTGTGTCTTTTACCTCTTCAAGAATGCTACATGATATCATTGTGTTATTTATTTTAGCAGCTTGGGAGTGAGTTGTTTCTTTTTTTTTTTTTTTTTCTTGATACAGTGTCTTGCTTTTAGTTCAGGTTAGCCTTGAGGCTGACCTTGAACTCACAGCAATCCTCGTGCCTCAGCCTCCCAAGAGCTAGATCACAAGCATGCGCCACCATGCCTGGCAGTAATATCTATTTTCTGCCTTGTGTGGCCCAAGAGCTTGTGCTGAATACTGGATATTAAGTGAGTCCATGCTGGTCAGGTCCCCAGCCCACAGAAATGTGTGGTTTATCTAATGAGATGGATTGGTTCAGTTAATACACTAAGTGCTAAGACTGAAATATATACAGGACTCTCTGGAGGCAACAATTCTAGAAAACTGGGTATGACATCTCCACTGGACTTGCTGCTTATAATTTAGATTGCTTCCATATGACCAGCCAACTACTGCTTACTGAAGGGTTTGTTTTCTACTTTCCTTTCTTTTTGGAATTTGGACTTATAAGGTCTTAATAATTCCTTCTCTGGGCTGGAACATATGAAGAGAAAAGAAAGAAGTAGGAACTCAATTTATTTAATTTAGCCAAGCATTGTTGCTGCAGTCCTGGGGAAGTTCAGTTGTCCAGGTTTCTCCCATGCCAGGGCATATGCTTTAAAACCTTTGAGGTCAGTTAAACAGCTATACTCTTGTAGTCTCTGCAGCTTTTGCAGTCGAATCCTATAAAGAATCCCATTCCGCTGAATGTTAATATACTTGAGCAATTTTTCAAACTTTAAAACAATACGTAAAAAGATCTCCAGGGCTCTCAAAACAAACAAACAAGCAAAGCCAAACAAAAGCCACTTAGGACAAGAACTTCCAAAATAGGAAACTTTTTTTCTCTTTGATGTTTCTGAGTTGATTATACTCTGGTTAGTGTTTTTAGACAGAAATCTTTCTATGGCACTTTAGAGATTCTAAATAATTACGTTAACTCTAGGTTATCAGAACTCCACTATGACAGTGTTGTACTTAACACTGACACTTTTAAATAGCAGGGCACGGGTGGGAAGATGAAAGGGAAGACATCTAGAAGGGCGGTCGTGCTATTTTCCACTCAGCAGGCTTGGCATTTGCTGAACACCTATGCCACACGGTAGGTGCTGGGAGTGCAGAGCCCAGGAAGTGCCGGCCCCCTGCCCCGAAGCCATATCCAGCCTCACTCTGGAGGAAGCCCGGCTGGTGGCCCCTGGCCTGTATTTCTCTGCAATTTAACTAACTTGCAGAGGTTGGCTTCCTAAGGAAATGCTATCGGTTTATCCTTTTTTATTTTTTAAAAATTAAGCCAATTTTGTGAAAATTTGAGAAATATAGAAAATAATACTAAACATTAAGTCAGCCATAATTTTGAAAG